CCCAGATCTGCCTGCCCACCATCCTCCAAGGCCAGGGCACCCGTAAGTCCTGCAAACCCCACAGCAGACCTGCCCTCTGCTGGGAGTGTACATTGTGGGTGTGGAGTCTCTGCAGCTCAGTGGCTATCAGACACAAGAGCAATGTCGTATCAGTCAGGATGCACCCCAGAGCACCATTCAAGGGCAGCAACCTGGGCGAGCTGGGCATATGCCATGCCACACACTTCCTGCAGACTTGGGTTTGTGACAGAGCATGTGCGACTCTGGTGATTTTTGCTAAAACAATAAACTAAATGAAAAAGAAAAGTTCACTTCCATAGACCTAATGCTTACAGTCAAAGCAGTCCAGACCCAGAGGAGTGAGACAGTGAGAGATTGCCCAGTGAGGGCAGGCCAGGCAGCCTGGACCAGACTCCCTAAATCAATGTCCTACTCTGAAGAGCCCAGCCTGGGGGCGGCTCCTAATCTGAGCCCCGTAGGGCTGGGGCCTCCAGCTTTCCCAGGCTGCCAAGGGCACACCTTCCCCTCTCTGCCTCTCCCTGGTGTTGGAGAAGCCCAAGAGAATCTAGTTGTCTATACACCCCTTAGGCCTCCCTGAGAGCCACAGATGGTCTTAGCTTGACCTGGGGGGCCCATGCAAACTATACAATCCAGGAAACGGCCTCAATGTCAAAGCCCCAAGACTCAGCCACATACAAGGACACAGGCTGCCTGAGGGCGCCCAGGCACACCTGCTCAGCCCACGAGGCCTCTGGGTACCCAGCCCCCCAGCACCGCTGAGCAAGGGACTCAGGTTACCCGTGACTGTGCTGGGTCAGGCCTCCAGCGGACAGCCAGCCTCCTGCTCACCACTCACCATTCCAAAAGCCCAGCCCAGCACAAACAGGATGTCCCCTCGGCCAGGATAGCCACTGCTAAGGGCTGATGTGGGGACGCTGACCCAGAGGCAGCCCGGAGTCAGCAGGTGGCCTGGGCTGTTCCGAGGAACCCAAGTGCTGAGCAGCTCAGCAGGAGCAGAGGCCCTGCGGCCAGCAACCCCAGGGCAGGAGTGGGCAGGATGACATCCCACGGTCCCCTGTGGCCCTTGACCTCTGCCCTGTCCTGAGGACCCTGTAGAAGGCCAGGAGGAGGCTGTCTTGAGCCTCCAGAAACTTCTACAGATCCCAGTAGACAGATCCATGCCCCTGTCCCAGCTAACCTCACTTCCCCCATGCTAACTAGGGGACCCACTGGGTGACTGGCACCCTGCCCTCTGCCCAACCCTTTTCCCCGGGCCCTTGGACACTCTTCTGATTCCAAGCTCCACGAATCACAAGCTCTCCTGGCCATCCCCCAACATCTGCCCTCCACAGACGTGGGGCAGGGAATTCTGAAGCTGACAGGTGCCAAAGTGGGATTCGGAAGTCGACCTGGACCACAGACCTATACCGGAAGATCACACAAGCTCAGGACAAGGCCCAGGGTGCGCGGAGAAGCCAGGACCCTCGCCGGTCCACGGCCCTGAGTTCTCAGGCTCCTACACAGGCCGTCAGGGGCCCAGGCAGTGTCCCCTCTCTGAGCACAGACAGGTGGGACACACCGCACTAGGGCAAGCAGGCGCGTGGAGGCACCGACCGGGTCGCAGCCCCAGGATCCCCATGCCCCGCCTGGCGCAGACAGGTGCCGACACGCGAGCCCGAGCTCGCGCACAGGCCCCGCTGCCCACTGACCCGAAGTCCTGGTCCATGGACTTGAAGAAGAATTTGTAGGCGTGCACGGGCCGGTTGCTGAGCACGTTCTTAAAGTCGGCCAGCGTGACGCGCTCGGGCGCCACGGGCAGCTTGACCAGGTACGGCGTCTCCTCCTCGTCCATGTGATA